CACTTCAGCACTGTGCCTCCTCTGAGTCTGGGTATGATATTCTCTTTCCTCCTAGTTGTAGAATTTCCACTCAGCCAGCCTTCCTGTGGTTCTGGATGATGTCCGTTTCGTCTTTTAGTTGTTTTTTGAAGTGGTTGTTTGAGGCAGCAATCTCCAGCGTTAACCTATGCCGCCATCTTGGTTTTCTTAACTTAATTTTGTATTTGTATTTTAAATTCTTTTTTCTCAAAGAGAGCCTTCCAATTTTTAGATTGGATTTGCTCCTGTATAGAGAGACTCAACTGAGACCAGAGTAAGAAAGCACTTTGAAAGTTCTGTCTAGCTAATCAGAAGTACAGTGGAACCTCAGCTCTCAAACTTAATTCATTCCAGAAGGCTGTTCGGGAAGTGATTTGTTCGAAAACCAAATCATTTTTTCCCGTTAGAAATAATGTAAATTAATCTGTCCCAGACCCCCAAATGATTCCCTGTTTTAGCCTTTTTTATATATAATATATGTGTAATGTACTGTTTAATCTATAAATAAACACTTCTTTTCTTAAATTTACTGAATAATCCCCTATTAGCCTTAAAGGAATCACCTTCAGCACTTGGACCTGCGGGGGCGGGGTGGGGGGGTAGGGGGAGTGCGACTTTCAGGTCAGCATGCAGCATCTTTACTTGCTCATATATCACAGCCTCAGAAATGGCTGTCACTGGCTAACTGCTTTCCCTTTATCCAAATCAACAACAGTTTTTCTACCTCTTCAACTGCCTGTGATCATTGTTTCTTTCACACCCTTAGCAACATTAGGGTTCTTGATGGCCTCTTTATGTTTTCAAATTGTGCTAATAGTTGATTTCCCCAGCAACTAAAGCATTCTCTCTTTTGCTCGTTGCCTGAGAGATGCTTTTTGTTGTATAGACATTAGAAAAATGAGGCTTGACTATAAAGGGTTATTTCATTTATTTAACTCGCACCTTTCCCTTAGAAGCTAAAGCACTTTATGGGGCATCTAACCAACATCTCATCATCCTTCCCTTGTCATTCATTTAACAAATATTTATTGGGAGCCTACTAATGCAGGCAGTTTCTAGGTGTAGAGCAAGCACGTCAAACTCAAAGGTTAACACGGGCCAAATAAACAAGGTTTAAGTTTATGTGGACTGCAAAAAAACAAAAGCTTCAATTTTCATAGAAACGTAGGTTTATTTCGATAGAGACATGCAGAATACAAAGGGCTGAAATAAATGAGTAATCATTAACATAAAATAATAGAACATTTTAATAAAAATTAATATTTTTTCTTGAACATTAACTTACTAGACACTGAATAACTGCACAAATTAATAAGCATAATGCAAATAAACCTATTTTTCTTGTTCTCCGACAGCAAAATATTTCCGGTTGCTCACACCAAACAAGTCAGTACAAGACTAATGACGTGGCAGTCGGCTGCTAAGATATTCGCTGCTAGTATTAGTGGAGAGAAATGGTGTGTCTGTGCATAAGAGAAATGAATGCAACAGGATTATAGTAATCAGTCATGAGCAAACATTGTAGTTCATTATTAATAACTAGAGGCTCAGTGCACGAAATTCATGCGGCAGTGGGGGGTGTGTGTGTGTTTCCCTCAGACCAGCCTGCACCCTCTCCAATCTGGGACCCCAATCCAGGACTGCTGGCTCCCACCTGCTCACCTGCCTGATCACCCCCAAACCACTCCCCTGCCAGCCCGATTGCCCCTAAATGCCCTCCCTGCAGGCCTGGTTCCCCCCAACTGCCATCCCCTGCAAGCCCGGTTCCCCCCAACTGCTCTCCCCTGCAGGCCTGGTCCCTCCCACTGCCCTCCCCTGCTGGCCTGATCGCTACAACTGCCCTCCCCTGCCAGCAATCTTTGACCACATGGGGGCAGCCATCTTGTGTGTTGGAGTGATGGTCAGTTTGCATATTACCTCTTTATTAGATAGGATTATGTGTAACAGGATATTGTAAAAATTAAGTTACGGAATTTTTTAAAATATATTTTATTGATTTTTTACAGAGAGGAAGGGAGAGGGAGAGAGAGTTAGAAACATCGATGAGAGAGAAACATCGATCAGCTGCCTCCTGCACACTCCCTACTGGGTATGTGCCCACAACCAGAATCGCCCTTGACTGGAATCGAACCTGGGACCCTTGAGTCCCCAGGCCAACACTCTATCCGCTGAGCCAAACCGGTTAGGGCGAGTTACAGAATTTTTATTAAAATGTTTCTTGCATATTATTATATTGGCTGGGCCGCGAGTTTGGCCTGGTTGGTGTAGAGTATAAATAAGTAAATAAACAGACAAAAGTCCCTGTTCTAGGAGCTTTCCTCCCATGGGAGTGGGGATGGACAGTGCTCTAAATGAGTATATCGATCACGTGGTATGTTAGAAGGTGCTATGGAGATAAGTGAAACCTGGAGCATAAAGGGTGAGCAGGAGGTGATCTCAGCTTTCAGTGGGGTGTTCAGGGAAGATGTCCCCAAGACAGTGGCATCTGAGCAAAGAAGCCATCAAGGACATGTGGGTCTCTGGGACAGAGCACAGGATGCACAAAAGCCCTGAGGTGGGAGTGGGCCTGGCATGTTGCAGGAACAGCGAGGAGACCCGATGGTGGGTGGCATGAGATCAAAGAGGGACTGAGCTGGGGACCAGGTGGACACATCATGTGGGGGCTTCCAGGACATTGTAGAGGCTTAGACACTTTTAATCTGAGGGACATGGTAAGCCATTGGAGGGTGTTTGAGCCTCAGGATCCCTGGCCACTGTTGAGAATAGACTGGGATCAGGGAATTCAGGTAGGCTTTCATCACAGTCCATGCCAGAAAGTGGGCAGGAGGGCAGGAGCGGGGGGCACTGGACCACGCAGGGTGAGGTATGAGAAGTGGCTGGATTCTAGATACAGTTATCTTCAGATAGAGCCTTCCTGATTCACTAGTGGACTCACCTCTTCATTCATTTGACAAATACATGCCAGGTATTGGAGATGTAGACCTGAATGGAGATGTGGCCCCTTCCTTTGAGGCGTTGGGAATTTAACAGGAAAAGATAGAGAATTGATAAGCTGCTCCCTGTGTACAAGGTGTGGGCTAGAGAAGCAGCACTAGAACTATACCCCAGATGGTCTCCAAGCTAGTGTCCCCTGCCTTCCCCATCCCTCCAGCTGCCCGCCAACCCCGAGACTCCAGCATGTTCTTCTCAGCACCACATCCTTCAGCACTGCAACTAACCTCCCAACTCTCTGGAACCTTCTCTTTGCCCCACTCTTTTCCTTACTCCTGGACTGGTCTCTGAATTAGACTGCTTACAGGGGCCTGAAGCATTTTACATTCATTTTACAGAAAAGGGAACTGAGCTATAGAGAGCTCAGTTTAACATTAAGCCAACATTAACGTCCGTTTCCTAAGTCTGTAAAAATTCGGTTGGAAAGTCTGGTGGGAAATCCTTTAAAGGGCCTAGATTTAAAGAGAAGGCAGTTGAAGGTCCATAGAGGAAAGCGACGTGCGGAGGTCCCATAGCTCGTGTGGAGCTGCTGGGCCGGAGCCTGGCTCCCGCCTCCCAGTTCTGTGACCCGTTTTCAGTCCCCTGTGGGCTGACTTAGCTCTCTTGCCAGTGAAGAAAAGCATTTCTTAACTGCAGCGTGAGTGCTCTAGTGATACATAGGGTGCGACGTCACTGGACTGCCCAAGGAGCCTGTGGAATTCCTGTCCCTGGAAAGCTTTGAGAAGAGACATCTTGCTGGATCTCGGTTTTAGGTACAGACCAGCCAGCCCACAGGGTGGTGTCCCCTGGGTCTGGTCCTTCCCTCCCCTCTCCCCCTGACACAGACAGACCGGTGCTTCCAGGCCAGCCAGTTCTTCTGGCAGACGAGACCTCCTGAGGGTGGCCTCTTAATTCAGCCTTGGCAGTGGGTATAGGTCAGCTGGGGGGCCAGCGTGGCCTTGGCTGTACTCTCTTTTTACAACCCAGGTGGCAGATAGCCCACTCGTCCTGCCTCCCCCCTGCATCAGCAGGTTCCTTACTCATAGCCACAGCCCTCCAGGCTCAGCGAGCCCAGCAGGGCAGAGCAGGCTGGTGGCTGGGCCTTCTGGCCCCAGAGTTGAAGCAAGGAAGTGATAGCTGCCGCTCAAACCCTCTCTCCCTCCCTGTCCCCAACCTAATGCCCTTCTTTATGGTCTAATCCTCCCAGTGGTCAAGGTTCAACTGAACGCTCACCTGTCCACCCAGCCTGAACTGACCACTCGCTCTCAGAGCACACTGCATGTTGACTGTCCGTAGCATGAGCTGGAGCTATTGTGTGGACACATGTCTCTCCCTAGCTGGGTGGTGAGCTCTTTGACCCAGGGAACCCCTTTTCATGATCTCATTTATGATAACAGGGCACTTTTCCTGGGTCTCTCAGATACAGCATCAGCCTCTAGGATGTAGACCTGTTTTGACTGTTCTCCTCAGAACCATGGAGTGGAAGTGTGGTTGGCCTGGGTTTGTGTATCTGAGTTAAGGGCCTCAGACCTCCTCTGGGGATAGTCAGTGTGTCAGCACTTATTTCCCCAGGCTCCCTGCTTCACACAGACAGGACATCGTGTAAGGGCCTGTGCATTTGTGGAGGTGGCAGGAACTGTGGGAGTTGCACAGGGAAAGGGTCAAGGCCCAGGCACTTCCTTGCAGCCTCTCAAATGTGCAGAAGGCCCAGGAGAAGTGGAAGCAGAGAGGCAGCTGTCAGGCTGCCATGGGCAGAGGTGAGGTAGCCACGTGATAAGGAGGCTCTGAGAGGGCGCCTCAAGCTGTGCATCCAGCAGGAGGCCATGGCCCTGGCACCTCCTTGTTCTTGGGAGATCCCTGGGGTCCAAGGATGGCAAGAGGGAATTTGCATAGTCCTCACCCCTGGTACCCACTCAAGGTGGGCAGAGGGTGCCAGAAGGGACCTCTCAGACACCTCATTTGCCTGCCTTTTGTCCTTCTCCTCCCACTGATGGCTCTTTGTTTCTCCACAGGTCGGAATGAGCTGATTGCTCGTTACATCAAGCTCCGGACAGGGAAGACCCGCACCAGGAAGCAGGTGGGCCCTGGGAGACGGGTATGGGTCCCCGGGCAGGCACCCCAGCACCAGCCTGCTCCCAAGGTGGGCCAGGTCCTCCTCAGGACTAAGTGTGGGCTCTCGGTGGGACCAGCTTGGATAGGTTGTCTCTTTTTGGTATCCCACGGACAGTTCATTTTCCCCGCCGTCCCTGTTGCCATCCCTCGTTTTCTGGGGAGTCAGCAGCCCCTCCCCATCCTTCTCCAAGACACCAGGGAACAGAAAGCAAAGCACTGGAACTGCACTTCTGTTTATTTCCCAACTGAGGGCCCCTCATTGACTGACCCTTTCTTTCATTCATTCATGCATCCGTTTACTCCTTTAGTCCACAGAAGTGGATTGAGGCCCATGGAGGGCTGAGGGTCAGGGATCCAGGATGGGGAGCTAGGCTGTCTGGGAAGTAGGGTCAGGAGCCTTCTCTTCTTGCCATAGGTCTCCAGCCACATCCAGGTGCTGGCTCGTCGCAAAGCCCGTGAGATCCAGGCCAAGCTAAAGGTAAGGCCCATGGCAGTTGTGGGAGGAAGGACCTAGGGCACAGATGGGGCCGTTTCGGGAAGTTGAAGCTCTTTTTCCAGAGGGAAAAGGCTTCCCTTTGTGTTTAGGGGCTGGCTGCTTGTGTGCGGAGCCAGCATGCTTCTTGGTATTGGTGAGAGTGGGATTCAGCCTATAACCTCTCCTGTCCACACAAGGAGGGACACTTGACCTTAGAGCCATGTGTGCGACTGCCAGGCTCCACAGCATCCTGGGGCCACAGGTCAGTCTCCTGCTGTGCTCCCTTCCCCCAGGGGCAGTGCCCTCACCAGATCACAGCAGAACGCCCTCCAGACCCCACTCCTTGAAGCCTCCTAGAGCCCCCTGGCTAGTGCCATCAGCTGACGCCTCCAGGGTGGTCAGGCATGGGAGGCATTGCTGTGGGTGGTTGGGATGCTGCTGTGGGAGCAGGTGGAATTCCTTCCCACGCCCTGCTCTCTGGGACTGGCAGTTCCTTCCCCTCCCTGGATCAGCCCCTCCTTGAGTGACAGGTGACTGTTCTGTGGAGGGCCAGCTGCTGGCAGCATTCCCCTCGGGGCGGCCCTGCTCCCCACAGGACTCAGGCCTCTCGGACCCTGGCCAGGGGGCCCTTTTGGTGAATACTAGTAGGAAGCATTGCATGGAGGTGTTAAGCCTCTCCAGCCGCTTGGTAAGAAGAGCTAATAACATTTGGGGGCATTAGACTAAGACCAGCAGTTTACAAACAATTTTTGTAAAGCAGTGTAAGTCCCTTTGGTTTTGTTTCCCCCAAATATCACCCCAATTTGTTATTAAAGGAGCTACTCAGGTCAATGCTAGGTTGGTGAGGAACAGACCAGAGGCCAGAGACTCCCAACTTCTATTCACCTCTCATGCCCATGGCTCTTGAACCCCAAAGTACCTCAGAACCCAGTTTAAAAGCCCTGGACTGCATGACCTTGAAGGTCCTGTGTGGCCCAGTAGTTCATGATCCCGACTCTGGAGGTTCTGAGTGGGTGGGGACGCCTAGGAAGCCACACCCTCCTGCCTCTCAGCTTTTTCCTCCTGCCATCAGCCCAGCTGTCTCCCACCCCCTCTGTCCCTGGACAGCTGGCTGGGCCTCAGCTGTTCATGCCTCCCTCTCAGGCTGGCACATGCCCCTCCAGGCCACCCTGAGGGTCCTGGAGCCCAGCTTGCCCCTTGTTTCCCCCTCTGGTCTGCCTCTGACTCACTGGGACCCTGGGCGGGGACCAGAGTTGGGAACAGACTTTCCAGTGTTCTGTTTAGAGTCATTGAGAGGAACTTTTAGTTCCACTGGGGCCTGGCTGTGCAGCTCACATTTGCTTAGAGGAATTGCACCGCTCCTGTCCACAGGCTCTCACTTGGGGCCTAGGGACAACCACTGGGCAGACATCAGGGAGCCACGAACCCCTTAAATAATATGCAGATTTTCACACTTAGGTGGAGATTGGTCTGAGGATTTCATCATATTCTCAAAGGGGTTTCAGAGCAAGGTCAGGTAGAAATGCTCTGGGTCTCGGGCTTGGTCTGGCCTGACTCTGCCTTGTGCTGCATGAGCTTAGGGGAAGCACTGCCCCTTCCTGAGCCCCATCCAGTCTCCCCTTCTGTAAATGACAGGGTTAGGCAAGGTAGTACCGATAAGCATACCCTCAGGTGAGGGTAAAAAGCATTATTAGTACTGTTAGTATTATTAGCAGTGTCATAAGTGCTTATCTGTTCAGAGCCTGTGCAGGTGAGTCCATTCTTCAGGTTGGGCCCACGGAGGGCAGACAGCCAGTGTTTACATCCTGACCTGTAAAGGGCAGGGCGTGCTGGGGGGCCCCACAGGGCAGGATTGAGACAGGTGAGGTCACAGGAGACTGTCCGTGCCTCCAAACAGCCCAGGTGACCAAGGACGACCCCCTGCTCATTCAAGGGGGATCCGACAGAATTATGTGTCATCTGCTGTAAGCCAGGTGCCGCCCCAGCCACCAGTGGTGTGGGGATGAGCAAGAACTGAAAGGTTCCTGTTCTCAACTTGTAGTCGCCAGAGGGGGGGAGAGAGGGTAGAAAAGGTGAAGGGGAATAAGTAGCACCAACTTCCAGTTATAAAATAGATAAACCACAGGGTTGTAATGTACAGCACAGGAATATAGTCAGTAATACTATGACAACTTTGCATCATGGCGGATGGTTACTAGACTTAGTGTGGAGATCGTATTGTAAGGTATGTAAGTGTCAAGTCACTATTTTGTACATCTGAAATTAATATATTATTGTATGCCACCTATACTTTAATAAAAAATTGTTTTTTAGTCTGAAAAATAAGTAAATAAATAAAAGGTCCCTGTTCTCAGGTCCGTGGTTTGTAAATGGAATGGTCTTCAAAGTCTCTTTAAGTGCTAGTCAAAAAGGCAGGGCAAGTATTGTGCCTCTTTGACAGATGAAGAAACTGATCTGAGAAACCACGTGACTTGCTCAGAGTCACAAAGCAAAGTAATAGCTTTGCAAGGACATAAGCCTGTTCCCTGGGGCCTGCCTAGTCCAGGGCTCTGGCCACGGAGAGTGGGACAGCTTCCCTGACCACAAGCCCTCCCTGCCTCGCCTCGCCGCTGCTGAGGCCCTCCCCTCCACTGTCTTCCCCCAGGATCAGGCAGCTAAGGACAAGGCCCTGCAGAGCATGGCTGCTATGTCGTCCGCCCAGATCATCTCCGCCACAGCCTTCCACAGTAAAATGGCCCTCGCCCGGGGCCCTGGCTGCCCAGCAGTCTCAGGGGTAAGTGGGGCTGCCTGGAGCCAGAGGCCAAACCAGCCTCTCCTTCTCGCTCCTCCCCCTTCTGCAGAGCCAGAGCACTGGCCAGACCAAATTTCTCCTGCTTGAGTCCTCTCAGGCCAGGCGAGCCAGGGGGAAGGAGGGACCAAGGACCGAAGGGCCATGCTGGGTGGCAGCTCAGCTGGTATTGGAACTACCTTCCTGGGGGTATTGGCAGGAACACAGCAGACCTTTCACAAGGGACAGAGTCGCCCCCATTAGCTGACCACCCAAGAAGCTCTACAGAATTGGCCTAAAGGACAAAAGGGGAAGCTGAAGTCCTGGGGACGGGGGCTGAAGCTGGGGCTCTGGTGCAGCACCAGCGTGACCCTGAGTGGCCCTGCCACTTGGCCTGGTGCCCACTCTGCCCTCGGGTCCCCACTCCTTCCAGCTGCAGGGCTGATGTCCATCAACAAACTCTTGTTCAAATTTTAAATGTTTCGGCCTAAGAACTGGCCTCTTAGCCATGGCCAGGTGGCTCACACTTTCAGAATGGTCCTGCAAGGCTCCTCCCTTCCAGGGCTGTGTCCTCACAGGGTTTTCTTGGCTGTAGGGTCTAAATGGGTCTTCAAGAGCCGCCGTAGAGGCAGTGACAGCCCTGTCCTGGGCTCGGTGCAGCTCATGTCTATCATTTTTCAGAGGGTGTTCCAGAGAGCATTAGTCCACAGAATGTTTAAATAGATATGACACAAAGTGATTCTATGCATAAGTAAGTTTGGGGCACTTAGAACTGCCTTGGTTTCCTGACTGTAGGACTGTTCACAGCCTTACGTGCTGCTGTGCACTGTGGATCTCTCTCTCATGGAGGAATACGAGATGCTGTTTACTAAGCTGGGTGCTTCTCCCAGGGGGCACCGTGTCAGCAGAGCGTGTCCACAGACTTGAGTGCCTTGAGACACACTGAGATGCTGCTATAGCCAAGCTCCAGACAGTAGCAGTAACTCTCTCCCTGCACCCACTGGTCCAGGCTCCAGCTCACCTTCCAGCTGAGGCCACAGCACCATCTCCCCACACCAGGGCCCTTGTGCACATGGACTATGCTGACTATGCTTTTTGCCTCCTCAGTTTTGGCAAGGAGCTTTGCCGGGCCAAGCCGGAACATCCCACGAGTGAGTATGGCCTGCTGCCAGCTGCTCCCTGAACTGAACTGGAGCGCATAAACTCAAGAGGTTGAGCCTGGGCCGCAGGGTGGGACAGGGCTGCAGTTTGGGGTCTACCTTTTATTACGGCCTTGAGCTTGGGGATCCGGCTCTCCTGCTCTCAGACACCAGCTCAGTCTACACTGTGGACACCCTGTGGTGGCTTTTGCCAAAACACCAGTCTGTCCATGGGGTAGCAGGGCCAGGGGTTGGGACCCCAAGGGAAGTAGGCTAGGAACCAGGGCTCTGGCTGGCCTGGGAGGGAGGGACAAGGGAGGGATGGGTTTTTCAGTAGACATGCTGCTTCTGTGGATCAACCCTGAAACATGAGGGAGTTGGCAGGAGAGGAAGTGGGAGGCCAAAGCCCACCAAGGCCACTGATGACCAGACCACCGGGCCTGCCACACAGAGAGCGATGGACGCTGCATCCTGCCCAGGGCTTACACCTCCTCTCTCCCCTCTCGCAGTGTGAAACCTTTCTCTCAACAAACCTACACTGTCCAGCCTTCGCTGCCTCTGCCAGGTGGGTCTGCAGTGAACAGCTCCCTCGCCCGTCGCACCCCTGCAGCTCCCGCCTCCAGGTCCCAGGTGCCTGGCAGCTGGAAAGGGAACCCTTACTAGCAGAGGGAACCCTTCCTGGGAAGAGGCCCGGAGCAGGCGCAGGTCCAGCAGCTGGGCCAGCACAGGAGCTCACCCCCTTGCACTGCTCAGGTGACCAGCTCTGTCCTTGCGTCTTTCTCATGAGGGTCCCTCACCATGTTCCACTTGGCAGGGCAAGGCAGGATCCTCGCCCTCAGCACCTTTTCTGGCTTGGGAGTAGCTGCTGCCCACATTCTGCCTGGCCTTTCCTGCTCTAGGGGCTGCCGCCTGGGGTCCTCCCAGCCCTGTGCAGTCTCCGCTCCCCTGCCCTTGCCTCACTGGCCTCGCTGTGCTTGCTCAGGCCTCCTAGATTTTGCCTGGATTACTGCAGTGGCCGCTTAACTAGCTCCAGGTCTCCCGTCTCTTCTCTTCACCCTCTAGGTCTCCCGTCTCTTCTCTTCACCCTGTAATCCCCCTCGTCATCTTTTTAAAGCACCCATTTCAGCATGTTGCTTCTAGGCGTGGAACCCTATAATGGCTCTGGTGCCTTCAGGATACAATGTGAACTGGTAGGACTTGCAGGGCTCCTCTGTTAAACCTCATCTTTCTCCCCTCTCCTTCCCTCCCCACCCCTCCCTGCCTCAGTGCTGTGGCTCAGGCACCCACCCCCCACCTCAGACTAGGTGCCCTACTGTTGGCGCCTGAGTACTCTGCACCCCCACCTAGCATCTGACTGGTCATCTGTGTGGCTGATTTGTCCACCTCCTCCAGTATCCTGTCCTGCCGGCACTCGGCAGTTCCTCGGGAAGCATGCTTGAACAAATGAATGAATGACTCAGCTGATGCTTTAAGCACAGGCTAATGTGTCTGTCCAGCTCGGCCTTCCAGCCACCCCTCTGATTACCATTTCTTCTCCATCTCCCTCCTTGGACCTCAGCACATGGGGCCTCCCTTCCTCTGACTCCCAGCCTGGAAGGAACACTAGTGCCTTCTGGGCGGCCTCGTTGCTCTCTCGTCCGTCATCTCCAAGGCCTGGGCTTGTCCTTGCTTCATGTCTGTCTGTGCCCTCCTCTTCCCTCCACTGCACTTAGCTTAGACCCCGCAGGACTGCTTTTGTCTGCCTTGCCCGCCCTGCCAGTCCTCCAAACGGGAATGGGGTCTTTCAGAAATGCAGATCTAAGCATTTCCCTGCCCTGCTTACATAAAATCCTGTCCCTTTCCCAAACCCTTAGGCTAAAATTCACACTTCTTAGCCCAGCCCTTCTCTTCAGCCTTGTTCCTGCCCCTGGTACAAACCCGTCCTTCTCTCCAGTTCTACCACAGACTTGAGTTTCCAAACTCATGGAGCATCTCACAGCCCCCAGACCTTTGCCTCAGCTGTGTCCTCTGCCCGGAACGCCCTTTCCCTGGCTTCACTAACTGCCGTCTACTTCTCCGTCATAACTTCTTTCAAGCGCCGCCTTCGGAAAAACCTTTCCCGACCACCCCAAGTTGGACTAGCAGCTCCTCTTTGGTGCTGAGTGTATACCTTGTCAATTTTAATCCCATTCATGACTTCCTTTACTGCAGACCTGTATCAGAGTACCTATCCTGGGCCAGGCACTGCTCGATGCTGGAGCGACAGCAGGGAATCCCACAGGAGACATTCTCTTCTCGCAGGGCTACGTCATAGTGGTTAATGATGGTCTGATAGCTCCGCTGGACCAGAAGCTCCTTGAGGGCGAGAATCCAGCAGAGCCTGCCCTGGAAGCCCTTTCAGTCCAGCAGGCATGCAGTCTCTGGAGTGTGTGGCAAGGGGACTGAGTTGTACCAGGCAGGCTGAGCCCTCCACCACCCCTGTCAGAGCCCATTTAGGGGAGATTGGTGATTCCCTTGCTAGCACGGTCTCATCGGTGGGCCTGGGGCCCTCACAGAGGCTGTCGGCAGGGAGGGCGTGTGTGAACAGGCTCACATGTGCCTCTCCCACTGCCTGCAGGGTTCGAGCCTCCTTCAGGAGCCGCCCCATCGCCCTCAGCGCCCCCAGCACCCCCGTGGCAGGGCCGCAGCGTGGCCAGCTCCAAGCTCTGGATGCTGGAGTTCTCTGCCTTCCTGGAGCAGCAGCAAGACCCTGACACGGTAGGTCCTGGTCCCTGTCTAGCTGCTCTTTCACTCTGGAGCTCCCCCACCTTCTCCAGCTCTTGTTCCACCTGCTTCTGGCTTCCTAGCCCAACCCTCACCCGCTCAGCTATGGGCTTGAATTTAGGTTCCTCATTTCTTTGCAGCCTTTACTTTCCTTGAACCTCTTCCCCTTTTCCTTTCCTTCCTCAAGCCACCTCCCTCTTCTTTCCTCACTTCACCTTCCCTCTCTCCCTGTATAGCTATTGCTCCCATCCCAAAGCCCCCACCACGGTTTCTTTGCTTCATTTCCATTCTCTCAGATCCTCTCCCTTTCCTGCTCCCTCCCTGACCTCTATTCTTCCCTCCATGTTCTCTTTCCTCCCAGTGAACTGCTCATCCCAGCCTCACCCCGAGGCTGTCCCATCCTTTCCCTATGGCTCTGACCCACATCCCCCTTCAGCGGCTTGTTCCTAGGTGAACAGTGTCACCTGCAAAGGTCAGAGGAGCATGTGGAGGAGGCTGGGCCAGCAGGGACTTTGTGGCCATCTCACTTTGACATTCCCAACTTGTCTTTTAGGTGAGGGACTCATTAGTCAAACAAGCTCCTCCTCAGAAGCCCACTGTGCCACAGAAGTAGGTTTCACTTGGTTGTAGCAACAGAGGCACCCAGCCCTGTCTCCACGGGTGGAGCACAATTTGAAAACACCTCTAGGTCAGTGGTCTGATCTCTGTGAAATAACAGAGGCCCAAAGATAGAAAAAGACTTGCCTAAAGACAGTTCATGGCAGAGGCAGGACTATGAAAAATACAAATAATAGCTACAATTTATTGAGCACCTGCTGGGTGCCAGACACCCCACCAGATGCTGTATACCATTAATTTTGCTTTATAGTCAATCCTTTGTCTCCATTTTACCAGTGGGGAAACTGCAGTCCAGAGAGGTGAGATTACTCACTCCCGGTCACATGGCTGGGATCTGAGCTCTGGTCCATTTTATCTGCCCTGCTACCCCTGCCTCTCCCTCAGACCAGCTGTTCTCTCCACAGTACAACAAGCACCTGTTCGTACACATTGGCCAGTCAAGCCCAAGCTACAGTGACCCCTACCTTGAAGCCGTGGACATCCGCCAGATCTATGACAAGTTCCCAGAGAAAAAGGGTGGACTCAAGGAGCTCTTTGAACGGGGACCTTCTAATGCCTTTTTTCTCGTGAAGTTCTGGGTAAGCCCTCGATAGACTCTTCCGCCCTACCCCCAGCACGTTGATGAAAGAGGAGAAAAGAGGGAGAGTGGCATCTGGTGTTCTTGTCGTGGTGGAAATTTGAGGAGCACAGGGCCCGTGAGAAGGGGAGGAGCGAGCATCAATGGCTGAGCCTGGGAGTTGGGCCAGTGGGCTGGAGAGTTGGGCTAGTATGAGGCCCTTTTCTTTTTTCTTTTTACTTTTTTAATATATTTTATTGATTTTTTACAGAGAGGAAGGGAGAGAGATAGAGAGTTAGAAACATCGATGAGAGAGAAACATCGATCAGCTGCCTCCTGCACATCTCCTCCTGGGGATATGCCCGCAACCCAGGTACATGCCCTTGACCGGAGTCGAACCTGGGACCTTTCAGTCCGCAGGCCAACGCTCTATCCACTGAGCCAAACTGGTTTCGGCCCTTTTCTTTTTTTAAATACACTTTTATTGATTTCAGAGAAGAAGGGAGAGAGAGAGATAGCAACATCAATGATGAGAGAGAATCATAATTCGGCCACCTCATGCATGCCCCCTACTGGGGATGGAGCTCGCAACCCGGGCATGTGCCCTTGACTGGAATCGAACCTGGGATCCTTCAGTCCGCAGGCTGACACTCGGTCCACTGAACCAAACCAGCCACGGCACGAGGTCCTTTGCTAAGCCATGGCAATGGCAACCATGCCCGGCACAAGAACAGCCTTTAGAAGGCTATCGTACTGGCAGACTTACAGGAGATACTGAGGGATAGGCGAAAAGCCAACGTGGACCCCCTAGTCACCTGAGTCTTTGAATGGCAAGTCCTGAGTTGGTTGTAGGGCCTGGAGCAGGGCAGTTGGTCCCTAAAAGCTCATCTCCAAGGACAGGGCTTAGAGAAGAAGGCTGTAGGGCTAGGAAAGGTCACCCCAGAAGAAACACTCACCTAACTTTACAAACAGTTCAGCCTGTGGACTTCCGCTCGCCTCTGGACAGGTGTTATGTGGGTAGAGTTCCATCCTTTCAAAACATCTTCTTCAAGACTAGGGGGCATAATTAATACCTGCTCTAGAGCTTGCTTCTGAGGGGCCCAGTACACACAGAAAAGGGATGTAGAGCCCAGCTGGCATAGCTTAGTGGTTGAGCATCGACCTATGAACCAGGAGGTCGTCAGGGCACATGCCCGGGTTGTGGGCTTGGTCCCCAGTGTGGGGTGTGCAGGAGGCAGCTGATCAATGATTCTCTCTCATCGTTGATGTTTCTTCCTCTCCCTCCCGCTCTGAAATCAATAAAAATATATTTTTTTAAAAAAGAAAAGGGATGCAGGGAAGAGTCAGACAAGTGCGAACTAAGCCAGCAGTGAGGAAGTGCAGGAAATCCTCTGGTTTGTGATTGGAGCCTTTGAATAGTTTCAGGGCATTGACACAAGGCCTGGGCGGCTCCTCCCACATTCCTCTCCCTAGCACCCTTGTTAACACCCAGAGACAGCTCAGGGTTTCCTATCCTTTATAAGGTCCCAGAACACTTTGATTATCTGAAAGCTTTACTTTTCACAGAAATAGGCTTATACACACTAAATTTTATACAGTATACATTTCTAGGTGGCTTACCGGGCCCTGGCTGGACTCCTAGTCTAGCTCTCATTCACAACAAACACTCAGGGCTGGCTCTCTCCAGAGAGGCAGGTGCTGGAACTGAGACCCACGGCCCTGATATTTCAGGTGCTTAGCTTTTATACTCTACGAGACAGCTTGCTCCGGGAGCAGGAAGGCAGCTGGACCTGAGCCTTTAGGGTGGGAAGATCTATTAGGCAGGCATGGGGAAAGACTATTGCAGCCTGGGGAAGGCATAAGGAAGTGGGCTCTGGAGGGAAAGTCCTAGGTACAGGGGTATGAGGGGATAACAGAAATGAAACTGCCAAGGTGTTAGATCCTGGGAGGCCCTGATCATACAGAAGTTTGGGTTTTAATCTATCCTGGGATGAAAAACAGGTAATCATTTATTTTACTTTTACCTTACTTTTAAATCAATGCATGTTCATGTTATATTGTTTAATACCAAGAGGCTTACAATGAAATGCAACAGATTCTTGTCCCACTCCTCCCCAATCCCAATCCCCAGAGGCAGTTGCTGTAAATTTTCACTGTTTATTCTGGCTTTATCTCCTTAATTCTAAATAATAAGCTTATACTGACATACCTGGATGTCACAACCAAGATATTTACTCTTATGTCAGAAAAAAAGTAGCAGGGAGAGAGAGACAGAGACAGAGAGAAAGAGAAACATCGATTTGCTGTTCCACTTATTTATATACTAGAGGCCCGGTGCACAAGAAGTCACGCACTGGGTGGCATGGGGTGCGGGGGTCCCCTCAGCCCAGCCTGCGCCCTCTCACAGTCCAGGAGTCCTCAGGGAATGTCCTACTGGTGGGTTAGGTGGGGAGCGGGCCTAAGCCGCAGTCTGGCCTCTCTCTGTGGGAGGCGACCAGGCTGGCCAATAAGGGGAGGTTGCTGCCACCCCCGCCATCACCCCTCTGCTGCCGCTGGTCACCGCCCCCCCCCCTTGCCATTCCCTCCCTCTGCCCACTGGCATGATCCTTGGCTGGCCTGGTGCTGCCTGCTCACTGGCCCCGCCCCCGCTGACTAGTCATTCTACCGTTCAGTCGATTTGCATATTATGCTTTTATTATATAGTATTCATTATTATATGCCCTGACCAGGGATCGAACCCACAATCTTGGCCTATCATCACCATGCTCCAACAAACTGAATTACTAGGCCAGGACGTCAATCATCCCTGTATTATATCTAATAAGTTACATAATTTAGTCAAAGCCAAGAACTATATTGTGATTAATTTTATTTCTAGTACAGCTTTTTGGTTTTTTCCTACAAATCAATGGCTTTCTCACTTGCATATTTTCAAATTTTTTTAAATCCTCACCCGAGGATATTTTTTCCATTGATTTCTAGAGAGAGAGTGAAAGGGAGGGAAGAGCGGGGGAGGGAGAGATGTGTCAACATGAGAGAGACACATCGATTGTTTGCCTCCAGCACTTGCCCCTACCGGAGCTGAGGAACCTGCAACCTAGGTACATGCCCTTGACTGGGAATTGAACTCTCAACCCTCTGGACTGTCATTCTAACCACTAAGCCAAACCAGTCAGGGCTCACTTCCATATTTTTAAATGACCCTATTATTAAAATGTTACATATTGTTCCATTATAACTACCATATAAAAATTTTTTTCAAATATTTTTATTGATTTCAGAGAGGAAGGGAGAGGGGGAGAGAGATAGAAACATCAATGATGAGAGAGAATCATTAATTGGCTGCCTCCTGTACCCCATCCTGGGGACCGAGCCATCAACCTAGGTACGTGCTCTGATCGGGAATCGAACACTGACCTCATGGTTCATAGGTGGACGCTCAGCCACTGAGTCATGCCTGCTGGGCCTGATACCTTTTTTACTGAAGCATTCCTAGATCTGCAGTTTCCTAGGTCTCATTTCTCTCTGTTTAGGTGTCCTCCTCATTTGCTGGGACACATTCTCTAGTACCTTCCTAAGGAAAGGTCATGTGATAGGTACATTTTCTAAGTCTTTGTTTAAAACGTCAGTTTCATACTTGATTGATAGATTGGGTATAGAATCTAAATCATAAATCATTTTCACTAGAAATGATTTTGAAGAATCATTTTTGGCCTTAGCCAGTAGCTCAGTGGTTAGAGCGTCTACCTGTGCACCAGAGGGTCATGGGTGCGATTCCTGGTCAAGGGCATGTGCCTGGGTTGCAGGTTTGATCCCAGGCCCTGGTCAGGGAGCATTCAGGAGGCAACCTAAATCAATGTCTGTCTCTCACATTGATGTTTCTCTCTCTCTCTCCATCTTCTTCCTTCCTCCCTTCCTTCCACTCTCTAAAAATCAATGGAAAAAAATATCCTTGGGTGAGGATTAACAACAACAAAAAAGAATAATTTTTTAATGCATTGTTCCATTGTCCTCTAACAGTGTGTAGTCTGATAGCATTCTAATTCTCTGTCCTTTGTTGTGTAACTTGTTGTGGGGTGTCTTTTTTTTTTTTTTTTTTTTGGTCTCTAGAAGTTTTGCATTTCTTCTCTATCCCTTATGTTTGTGTTTATTTTTTAAATATATTTTTATTGATATTTTAGAGAGAGAGAGAGAGAGGGCGAGGCGGGGGGAGGAGAAGAGAGAAACATGCACCCTGACTAGAGATGGAACCTGCAACCTGGGGATGTGCACTCACCCGGAATCCAACTGACAACCTTTCTGTGCATGGGATGATGCTCTAACCAACTGAGCCACACTGGCCAGGGCATATCCCTTAAGTTCTTACATTTTACATTGATGAGCTTTTGTGTTATTTTGCTTCCTATTTTTGAGCCTGACACTTGTTAGACACTTTCAATCATGAGGTTAGCATCTCTTAATTTTGGAAATTTCATTATTGTATTATTATTGTATAATAAACTTATATTATTTCTGTGACAATTTCTTTCCCTCTTTTTCTTTCTGTTCTTTTCCAGGAACTCCTATTAGTCTGATGTTGGATCTACTGGACTTATCCTCTATGATTTTTATCATTCTTTATTTTCAAATTCATTTTCTTAAAGATTTCCTTAACCCTTTCTTCTAATTCTTCTGAATTAGTTAAGAGTATATCTAAGTGCATATTACATAAAACCCAAAGTAACAGTGGCATAAATAAATAGTTTGTTTTTCTTTCAGGTAAAGTAAGTTTGGAGGTAGGCTGCCCAGGGCAGGTCCAGCACTTCCCTAAATCACCAGGAGCTGACCGCTCTCTGTGTCCTCAGTGCCTGGCCTCTGTCTTCACGGTGGTGGCTGCTGGAGCCCAGCCGTCACACCCATATTCCACGCATCAGGAGGGAGGAAGCCCACTTAGTTCCCTTCCAGGAGCCTTCCTGGAAGTCCTCACAACACTTAATTAGCTGCGTGTTGCTCCTAGCTAACAAGGAGCCAGGGAAATGTACT